TAAGCCATACCAATCAAGGCCTATGAAAGGCGTTTGAAATAAAACCGGGTTTTTGTATTGAACCAAGTCCTCAATTTCAGCAAGATTTGCTGGTTTTGACGATTTTACTTATATCCGGTTTTTGACTAAACCCCTGGCCGCCGGCCAGTCCAGTCCGGTTTTTAAAACTTTGATTTTTGGATCGATCTCTTCGATGCAATCGGTTTCCAAGTGACATGTTTTCTCCAAACTTTTTCTCTCGTCAAACTGTATGCATTTGTCGATTTTATTTGTGAACTCTTAATCCCTGTCTTGTTTTCATTATGAATGAACTATTTAGTTGGCAAACAAAAAAGTTATCATAATGTGTGAAAAATCAATTTTAATCGAATAAGCTGTATTTACATTTTGAAAATACCAAATTACTTTAATTATTATCTAGTTCGATTCGGTTTGTTGTTATAATTTTACTTTCCAAACTTTGAATTTTGTACCAATTCAAATCATGGTTAAACTACTATGTCTTCATGTGCTTCACAACCTCAATTCAAATCATGGTTAAACTACTAAATCAATGGCTATTTCTGCCTTAGGGTGTATCCAATTTCGCATTCTTCGTATAACCAAAATCATGAAAAAAAATAACAACGCACTTTCGAGGATCCAGAGCTACTAAAGTTTCCTATCTTAAAAGGAAATGATCATCCTAAGGTTTCAGGACTCGAAAACACTTGCACAACTTCAGAGTCGATTAAAAAGACTTCTAAGCTCAAATGAGTAACCTGTTCGGAATTCTTATTGATTCGTTTCTGGTTGTCTCCAAGTCTCTCTCAGTATGACCCATTCGTTCTTAAGAAACTTAGTGCATTACACTTACTTTGCTCTAGGATGCTTCGTCACTTTTCTTGTAAACGCAAACTCACCAAACTTATGCCCAACTTTCCCCTCTGTGATCTTACAACGCACATGAGTTTTGCCATTGTAGATTCTCACAGATGAATCAACATACTCTGGTAGAATTGTCGATCTCCGTGACCATATTTTCCTGTTCAGTGCTGCATTTTTCTTCTTCATCAAGAATGCATCAACGAATGGATCTTTCCATACAGATCGGCTCACCATCTTATTGCCTTTCGTCTCATCTTCTATACCCTCATCCAAAGACAATGGCAAACTTGGCCATTCTTTTGCAGCGTTCACACGGATGTTAAACCCATTCAACTCCTAATCAATCACACCCCAGAACCAACAAAAAGGGCAAGTTAACAACACAACACAACAATTTCATATGATAGATAAATCGATGATTCTTTAGTAAACTAGCCTGTCCATCCATAGCAGAAATAGCAGATTTGGCAGAATCCTCACTTATGAAGTTAACAAATCCAAAACCTCTAGACATCCCAGTCACTTTGTTTGTCATGACTCTTGCTGAACAAAGACACAACAAGATTTTACTTCAAAATTAGCCATAGTCAGTAAGAGAGTAAAGTTCCAAGCACACCAAAGAAAAAACACAAAAACCATATTGGCAATGTTTATCAACATCTATCAATCATGGTTATAATGTTATGACTAAACTGGCTTAAATCCAACCACACATCCTTGAATGGTTTTAAAACATTAACCAGAGCAAAAAAAAAAAAAACACATTCTACCACTCCAGAGCTTACCCTCTGCGACTCCATTGAAGCTAGAGAAAGCGTTCCTCAAGGACTGGTCGTCAGTTCCGGGTGATAGACCTGAGACCATCAAAATTAACAATTACCAAAACAAGAGAAGGAAAATGTAGAGTAACTAAACATTCACAACTGCAATAGAAATAAAATGAAACCATCTGATAGGAAGTTATACTTACCACCAATGAAAAGTTTTGTGGACATGTAGCGGAGAGAACCAAGAATTGATGTTACTGGAACATTTCTGTTTTGTTTCAAGTGACCACCGAGTTTGTTGCTAAAAGCCATTTTAGATGTCTGAAAACGATAAACCCAGTAAAATAAATCAGACAAAACCCTTTTAAAGCTAAGAAATTCAAAGCAAATTCTAAACAATGTACTATAACAACAAAGTCATTTCGACTAAGACCTAGAAGAATCCAAAACCTAAAACAAAACATTATGAAGAAACCCGAAATCGAACCATAAATCGAAGAATTGCGAGCCATTTGATTCCAGTTGTGAGATCTAATATAGGGAGAAGAAAGAAGAAAGAAAGAGACCTGGAAATCGAACAATGACAAACTCTTCCGTCGTTGGTAACCAGATCCGTCGCCTCCGATGATTTGAGTTTAGTTCGTGTGACTTGTGTTACTGCTTGTTAATTTGGTGGGTTTCTTCGACTGGGCCATTGTGTGGCCTTTGAGTTAATGGGCTTCAAGAAAATGGTTCAAATGGGTTTTTAAGTGGTTGGGTTTTACTTTTAGGGATGCGGCTTATGTTGTAAAAACTATAAGCACTCTTGCTTCATTTAATTTAAATGTCATCAAAGTTTAAAAACAAAATTTGTTTTTCAAAAATTTAGTAGATTGTTTTTCTTTTTCTTTTTTTGTTGAAAATTTAGTATATTTGTATTGCTAATTGTATAAAGAACAATCTAGGTTTTGTACATCTTTTCTTTTTAATTTAGTAGATTTGTATTACTAATTTACTAATGCTTCATCGCATGAAAAAATTAGTATAATGGCAACAAAACTACAAAAGGTTAAACCGACTCCATTTACATAGAAAATGAGTCACTTCTTCACTTTTTTTTGAAGTTCTAAAATCAACTCATGAAATCAAAACATTGAATTCTCTGTCCTCGTCAAGTTTTTGATCAATTATCAGTCTCTAAAACCAAATGAAGTTGTTTGTGACAACACAACGGATTTCCATTCTCATA